GTCCTGACTAACCTCCCAAAGTTACAACTCATTTGGTTAGAAACAGACTTCGCACAAGCCATTTGAAGTTTACATGTAAATTACTATGGAAAATCTCAACTTTTTGTTCATTGCCTTCTAGTCTTTTTTTCATATTGAGCTGTAAAACAGTTCGATAGCCAGTCTTATAGAAAATTTTCTCAGCAACAACTTTGCTGAAGACCGTTTCTATGTAAAACGAGACAGGAAAAAGTTATTAATTATTTAAGAGATTGGTAAACTTATGACATGATCAAGCAGCTGCTCTGTAGGCAACACTGTATTTTGCAGTGTGACATAGTAGCCATAATTTTTGTGTTCTATTCAACGCCCCAGAAACACCAATGTTGCCTGCTGAGCAGTTGATTGAGCATGATCATAAGACATCAGTGCATTGAACCATTGATAACTTTCGATCCTTGCATTTAATCAAAAAGTGGTCTTGAGCAAAGTTGTAGCTTCAAAAATTTCCTACAAGTACAGTTGAAAGCTTTTGAAGCAGACAGATATGGTGAATTATTAGATAGACATGAATAAAAATCTTGGTTTTACCATAGTAATTCCCATACAAACTTCAAATGGTTTGTGCCATCTAAGTTTCTCACCAAATGGGTTCAAATTTTGAGAGGCTAGTCAGGATTCGATTTGGAATCGTTTAAGTATTGTGCATCACTCTAATGTTCAGGTCATCCGCATATAATATCTTTTCGAAGCACAGAAAATTGCAACGGTCATTTACGAATCACATAATGATCAAGGGACCTTGTGGCACACTCGATGGAATTGCAAACTCAACGGATTTAGCACCACGAACCTCATCGAAAGCTTTACGGGACGATCGATTCGAGTCCAGTCAATTTATGATCCAAGATGGTTGACCAAGGCGATCCATTTTTAGCGAGTTCGTGGGGCACATAAATAGCGTCCACTTGTTGCCGTTTTTCGATTCTGTTGATGAGCTTATTGGTATACGACATAAGATTCGAGGTAGTCGAGCGTTTTTTCACGAATCCGTGCTGAAACTCCGAGATCACAGACTGCACAATCGGATACAATGAGTCGTGAATCAAACTCTCAAAAACTTTGGCCAAACAGTTCAGATTGGATATCGGACGGTAGTTATCTACACTGAGCATGTTGCCTATTTTAAAAATAGGACTTATCGACGCAAGCTTCTACGCTTCGGGAAGGACACCATCACGCTGCGATAAAATGAATATTTTTCATGCGACGTAAATGTCAGACATATAGACGTTCAGGACATTATAGAGGGCTTACATGATATAGATACTTCAAAAGGATGTGGTCCTGATGGCATTCCCCCTGCTTTCATAAAAAAATCTAGCAGTTGAACTAACGACACCACTGTGTTTGCTCTTCAATAAATCTTTGGAATCTGGAATATTTTCTAAAATTTAGAAAATCTTCATATAGCCTATTGTTTAAGCCGTTTAAAATCTGCCATACAGAATCATCACGGTATTGCCATTATCTCCTGCATTCCAACGTTGAGAAAATCATTAATGAAAAACTATTTGTTCAAATTAATAACAAAATAACTTGTATGCAACACGTTTTTTTCAAAGGCCGATCAACCACTACTTTGCTGCTGGTACCACGCCGTCCGATGCGAAGATGAGCAGAGTCAAGCAGAACGATGTGCAACCAAGTGGTACTCGATTATGACGACTGGGTTTGAGTAAAACGTTTATTTCATGAAAACAGTGATAAAATGATCATTCGTACATTTTTCAAAAGTTTTTGTTGGGAAATTGGAAATGAAAGTATTGCAGATGATTAGTAGAGTTATTTCCTATCGATTGATGTATTTGGATTTTAATTTCATATGTAAATGATAAAGTTACAAACGTTCAAAACCTAACACTATTTTGTAACACATTTTTTTTTTATTTATTTGTATAGTCCAGAAAGACGTAGTTCTACGTCAAAAATGCGTTGAGCGGTTGAACTTACAGCCATTAGAGGCTGTAGAGACCCATCGTCCAACGTACTCCACCTGAGTGATATCCTAACTAACATTTTCAGCTTTATAAGCCTACTTTTCCAGCGTTGTGCCGTAAAGTAGCTGAAACAAAGCTGCAGATACAGCTACAAGCAGAAGCTAGCAAAATATGTTTGAAGAGCGTTTACTCAACTTTGTCACAACCATTATTCAATTTGTCGTCGCACTGAATAACAGCAGCCAATAAACGCTTATGTCACTTCTATGCAAATATTAATCAACTTTCAACTGGTAGCTGCAAAACAAAGCTAATAAAGTGAATATATTACTCATTTGATGGCTTCTATACAACCAACCACTCTTGCTGAATAACATAAACATCAAAAGTGCTTTTTCAACAACTAAACAACCTGTACTCAGCTAATAAACTGTGTTAGCGCTATTTCGGAAGCATTTTCACAGTCAACTAGGTTTATTTTTAGACATGTGCAGTTTTAAAGCTTTTAATCTGCTCCTTTACAAAGCTGAAGTAACTTGTCGAGAAAAGTGATTCATGTGCACTATTATAAAGCCTCTACTCAACGAAATTATTGTAGAAAGTCATGTATATTTGTTTACGTCAGTTCAAAGTGTTGGCGTAGCGAAGTTGGTAGTGTCAAGGTTTGCCAATACGGTCGTCTCGTATTCGATTCCAGGTTCCGGTGCAGGTTAAATAATTTGGTGGTGTGCTTGAACTAATTTCGATTAATTTGATTCTCACAGCAAAATAAACTCAATCAATTCCTCCAACAAAAAAGCGTAAACAATATTTAACCCGGCTTCAACAGAAAGCTGTGTAGTTATTATTGGATAACCAGAAAAAATTGAATAAGCGCCTTTCAAGTTCGCACACAACTAAACAGCAGGATAACAGCTTATAGAAGCGTAAATGGAAATGCAATAAGAGCTTGTTCAAACCGTCCCAACAGTCATAAGTAGCATATTAAGTTCGCCAGATTTGCGTGTATAGAGGTTGAGTAAAGGCAGCCTCATATCGTATAACATTTGAATACAGCATGAGGCTTTATAAATTAAATGAGTAAAGCGTTTACATTGCGAAAATTGTTAGTTGGGATGTTTTTGTTATCGAAGTAGCAATCGGATATTCTGGTTGCTCAGACCACCCTGCCTAGCAACGTGTTTTCCCTAGCAACGAATTTGTTTGAGGACTAATTTTTCATCATTCCTAACGTGTAAACCGTACGAACAAGACGTGCTTCAATAAAGCTCTAATTTAGTTTAGCACAAGTAGTTCTCCCGTTTTTCTTTCGAGTCCCGTTCCGGTAACCGAATCCCAATAGTTTTTGATATTGAAACATCGCTCATAAAATACTATCGTCATCTGTTGATTACACTATGGAGGTCAGCGCACGCAACAGATGGCGGTACTGTTCAAACGTCAAACTCCGTACTAGCTGACCATGCGCGCCGCCGATGGTCACACTACCAACTGATAAAATAGATTGAACCTATCGTTTAATGGTTTATTGATCAACATCATATGGAGAAGTATTTTGTTGTTTCAATCCATGTTTTCTATGCTCCACTTCAAGCTTACACAAACTTTCTAAACTAATTTTATCAATGGAAATAAACACAATGAAACTTGAACCAAATTCATCGTACATACAAGGCGGTGCGGATTTCGTGAATTTTGTGGATATCACGATTTTTGCGGATTTGTAGCGAAAAAATGGCTAAATTCATTGTGAAGGCACGAATTGTTTTAGGGAATAATAACCACGATTTTCCATTTATCGTGTATTATGATGTACACAAGAGCAGTGATGCCCTAGGTGATGTCAACATTTCAGTTTAAACTGAATTTTTCTAGTTTTTTTTTTAATAATAGAATTTCCACTATTATTTGCAAAATATTTTGAAGTATGATTACCAGTACAGATGCTTACTAATGGATATTTTAGGTCGCTATTGAAAATTTAGTAGATTGCTGAATTTATGTATGGGCCCAAACTAGGAGCATTTAGGCCGACAATACATCCATTTCCCCTATTTGTTACATTTGGTTAGATGCCCTCAATGTGATCTTTGAAAGTTAATTTAAAGTACTAGTCTTAGATATTTCACTTGACTTGACCGTTCATAATGACTATGTGACTACTACTAGGTTTCAAAATGGAAGCTTCAGGCTTATGCGGGAATATTATAAGTTGAGTTTCGGCGGGAGAAATATTCCAGTTTGAAAATAAGAAGTGAAGATATCTAAACTTTTATGCAGCGTGCTGCAAATAACACGAAGACTTTTTCCTTTAGCGGAAATGCCTGTGTCATCGGCGAGCAAAGATTTGTCGCAACTCTGAGACAAATCAGTGACGTCCGAACTGAAAATTTTATACAATATAGCCCCTAGAATAGTACCCTGAGAAACTGCAGCTCTAACAGGTAGTCGATCAGTTTTGGAATTCTGATATTTTACCTGTAGAGTTTTGTCAGTTGATTAATTTTGTACTAGTTTCAGAGTGGAAAATTAAGCTTTTTCAATTTAGCAATCAAACCTTCAACCGAATGCTTTTTCTATGGCTTAGTGGACTAACTCCAGTTGAGCAGCCTTCAGATTTGTTTGAACGACTTAACCATTCAACGGTTATTGATAGCTATGCATGAAAAAATAAAGTTCGTTGCAATTTTTGAATTTCCTCCAAAACCGTTTTGAATTTTTGAATATTGTGACGAACAGTTCCGAAATATGTACTCATTGACGATTTCAAGCGGTCGGTTACTTGACCATGAACTACATTTAAAACGTGTATCCTCGAGCAAAACAATACGTCAATTTGAGTGGAACCTTCCACACCAAACGTAGTCGTTATGCGCAAAACAAAAAAAAAGAGAAATGAGTAGCCAGTAAATCACACGCGTTATTTGTTATGTCACATTTCAACTCGAATACCAGCACCACCCTAGCAATCTTCAGAATCCCCAACGTGAACTCCGATACCTGGTTCATCATTATACTCACTTGGTATACATGAACACTCCAGCAGGTGATACGAAGATGCCGGACCCGATGATCGTTCCAACGATAATCGTTATTCCATTGATCAGCGTAATCTTGCGCTTCAGGACGACCTTCTCGCCTGCTCCTCCACCTCCATCACCATCCTTCTGAGTCAGCTGATTTTCCGCCTCGTTAACCATCGTTAGTTCACACTGTCCACCACAAGCTTTCCCTTGGATTCGTGGTAATAGCCCCTTCTCCCCTTGCACACAATCACGCTACGGTAGCCGACTTTTATAATCCGATTTGTAGACGTTATACCCACACACAATTAGCTAAATTACTTCGCCGGCACGTTTTTGTCGTTCACCAACGGTTTGTTCAGTGTGCCGTTTCCTTTTATCGCTTCTCGTGCTCTCCGCACGATTTACGCACGCACTCTGATTCACTCACTCACGACGACGGCGGCGTCGTTTCACGGTCAACCTTCTTCTATATGATCACTTGCTGCTTTTACTCTGATGTGTGCCAAAAAAGCACCACTCGGTAATGCGAAAAGTGAAATATTCGAAATACTATAAATATAAAAATATGTCACAACGGTTCCTAACTTTTCCGTCTCAAGTCACTCAAGTCCCGCGACTGAAGTTGCTGCTGCGGTGATCACTTCTCCCTATACTCCCGCAGTTGGGGAGCGAGCGGTAAAAGGGGATTCACTTCTCTAGAAATGCGACCGTTCGCGACGGAGTCCAACTTATCACTAAAGATGCATATTGGATCTGATTCGTACATTGAGGGGACATCAGAACAATCCTCTGGGGCTTTGGATTTTTCTTCCTGCGTCGAACGAGGGGTGATTCCGGAGATTGTTCTCTTTCGTATGAGCGTATATAGAGAATATGGATTTCTCACATTGTGTTCACCGTTTCCTTAGTAGTGTCTGGGGTATTCTCTGAGTATAAGGGGTATGGAAGAGCAGATGTGCCGTTTATTGGTGAAAAAATATGACGCAAATCCTAGCATTCTTACTTTCACTTCTGATCGTTGCGGCAAAAGTGACGCATGGTTGCATCCTTAATTATCGTTTTCAAACCAATATTTGTTAAATTTGCAACACCAAGCCTATCTATCGATGAATTCAATTTTAAGAGAGAAAAGACTCACACACATTGCATCCGTTAATGACACGTTTCGATAAATTTGACAGTAGAACAATAGATTTAGCAGTATTTTTGCCGTAACGAAGCTCTAACGGATGTAATAGATGGATCAATCCAAAGCCCAGCGGGTCAAGTTCATGCGGTATAAGGCTATAATATATTTGTTGGCATACTAAACCGAAAAGTGCTACTTTTCGACACACTTTAGAATAACATAACGGCCTACTTTTCCTAACTAAAGCATCTGTGCCGAAAAATACTACTTTTCGACACACTTTCGAGTGCAAAAGTAACTATTAAGCTTGTTGTATTTTTCGACTGTGCACTTGGTTGTTCCAATTACATTTTTTTATAAAACTTTGTGGACTTTGAATCGCGTTGAATTCATGCACTACTCTTCCCATTCTGTTCCCGAAAGGCATATTTAGTCACAGTCACGCACAAGCTGCACTGATATCTAATTAAAACGCAAAACATACGCCATTTTTGCCACCAACGAACGAAACAAACGCACACATCCACGTGTGCACCCTCGGTACATTCGTACGCGGCATTACTAAAAACGTAGGCAATAACGTAAACACTGTCTATAGCTCGCCATTTGTACCGAACGAGTTTTCAATGAAAAACCACCTAAACACAGCCGAATCGCACACTTTTACCAAGTTGAACTCCGCCATTCACCGTAGGAGACAGTCCCACATCCCGGAAATTGGCACTGAAACAATACAAATTGGCCAAGCCTACCGCTTGTTTGTTGCTCCTGGACATCCACAGATTGTCCGATTGTCGCCTGTTTATCGATCCGGCACTGACTGACTGACGACTACGAACGCTTCAAATGTTTACTGCTGCCAACGTCGAGAGATATCACTCGTACAATAAAACTACTCTACTCTATCCTAAATGTGTTTATCCGAAAAAACACGCCACGCGTCGCGTCGGTTTGCTTTCCGTCGAGGTAGTGAATATTTTGATTCATACAATTGTTCGTGGGTTCTACGGTTGCAGCAGCGGCAGCGAAGGGAAACCAACCGTATAAATAATTATTGTAGGTAACTCAACTTGTCATAGCATATAATATGTCTGATATGGCACATTCTCGCATTTTTCTCTCGTTTTCTCGCATTTAGGATATTCCGGGCGCATTTTCGATTTTCTCCCTCTCTCCGACAACTCTATGGAGTTTCTGGTATGTTTTCGTTTTGCTGGATGTTAGGAGATTTAATTTCTTTGGTTTGGAATTGTACCGTGTAGCGAAGTCTATATGTAGGGTAGAACAGGCCAAAATGCACCCCGGGGGAAAAAGCCCATTGTGGTTTTTGTTGCTTTTCCATTACAAATTGTAGGATTTCTGACGCAGAAATGCTTGTTTAAGAATTAAACTAGCAATGCTGCTTAATAAGTTCTTGGATTTAAAACGGGAAAGCTGTGAAAAACCGCATCGGGCGTTTCGCCCGGAGTGCATTTTAGGCTGTCTTCCCCTACAGACAGTGTAGACACAGGAGAGGTAGATGGTTTCTGGTATCGGGTCACGTGTGAGAGAGATTTCCGTTGGTTGTTCTCTCAGTGGCATTTTGTTCTTGTATAGGTGCATGTGAATCAACGGGGTTGTATTTAATCACAGACAAACAGACGTAGTGCATTAAATAAATTTTACTTAAATATGTCGTCATGTAGCTCTCTAACGGCTATTCACGGAAATAAGCTTGCTTGCCAAGCCTCAAACAATGTTGCATACAATTTCAATAGACTGCACAGTGGTGCAAAAGGTCAAATCCATGAACTTTTTTCATTAGCATCTTTCACAGTGGTTTTTTTTCAATAGGGTTTCTTCAGAAGAGATGACAAGACCCATTGATTGAAGTTAAGTTTTAGTTCGGAACTTCACCACAGGTGGCACTACAGAATCTAAATTTTTAGTTTGACTAGATAGAGATATGAAGACTTTAGCTAAGTTGTAGGTTGCTTCATAACTAAAAACTTTGTAGAAGACGCCATGTTTCTATCTGATTGTGATTTTGAGTTATGAAGCGTTTTTTATAGAAGAGCCTCAAAAATATTTTGTTTTTTGTAAATATTTCTGAAATTATTTGTTTTAGATGACTATAATGTACTAATGTACTATAATGACTATAAATACACAACCTAACTGAAGACAAAAAGGTTCTATCTGCAAAACAGAAAACGTTATAGGCAATATCAGCTCAAAAATAGCCTAATTTCAAGCATCAACAAACTTCTTATAAAAGCAAAAAGGGGCAGACGGCTCCTCAATATGATGAAACTATAGTGAAAATACTATCATTTTATTTGGTAGTCATCTGTATCCCGTTCTACCCACAGGCCCTAGATAAAATTATATAATTTATATATTTTATTCCATTGATTATTATTATATTTTATTTATTTATTTATATAAGAATTTCCCGTTGAATTAATTATTTTAATATCAGCCTTGTTCAATTGGAATCACTATTTTCGTTTGACTGCAAATCAGTGTCGTCCAGCTGGTGAATTGATTGTAGATCCAGCATATTTCTAGCATCCTCAACCCAATCCATCTATCACTTGTTGCTAACATCTCTTAAACTAGAAATGAATGGATCTGACGATTCTAGGAGCCGATGGATCAAATCTTCATTCACTGTCGTCCTAGATATCTTTCCGGTATGATCGTTTCAGTAGCTTTAAAATATGTTTATATTAGTTGATTAAACGCAATATTAATAGAAAATATCTACCTCTTTAAGTCTTTATTACTATTTATTTATTGATGAACTCCTTCGTGTAATATCATGCACAATAGTCGCGGAATGGTGTTTACCCTCCTCTCTTAGTTTCATTTGAGTAGCATATGAATACAAATGACTACTAGATGAAATGATAGTATTTTCACTATAGTTTCATCATATTGATGAGTCGTCTGCCCCTTTTTGCCTCTTTAAAGTTTGTGGATGATTGAAATTTGGCTATTTTTGAGCTGATATTGCCTATATATTTTTTTGTTTTGCAGATGGAACATTTTTGTCGTGAGTAAAATTGTGTATTTGATTGATTATTAAAAAGTTGCAGAACATTATAGTCATCTAAAACAAATAATTTCGGAAATATTTACAAAAAAACGGCCTTTCTATAAAAAACGTTTCATAACTCAAAATTGCAAGCAGATAGAGACATGGCGTCTTCTACAAAGTTTTTAGTTATGAAGCAATCTACAACTTAACTGAAGTCTTTATATCTCTTTTTAGTCAAACTAAAATTTTAGATTCTGCAGTGCCACCTGTGGAGAAGTTTCAAACTAAAACTAAACTTCATTCAATGGGTCTTGTCATTTATAAAAACTCTTCTGAAGACACCCTATTGAAAAAACCTCTGTCAAAGATGCTAATGAAAAAAGTTTATAAAATTTGGCCTTTTGCACCACTGTGGACTGTACAGAAATGTCAAAGAGATCCGATGCCACCCTTATAAAAATAACCATAAAAGGGAGCTTAATGGGGTATCATCCAAACAATTTGTGGGATAGTTTACCTATCCGGGATACAGTTTGTTTATTGTATTTGTTTATTAGGGCTGGGCTGTGATGGGAGATTCATGCAACCAGACTTGTTATTTCCTCACACATTGCGCACAAAGAGCTAACTTTACAGCTTATCACATTGAGAAGAACTATTGCACGGCTTTATGAAAACACATTTACTTTGCGGGCAAACACAAAAAAAAAACAGAGAAAAAGTGGTGCGCTTAGATAGAAGCAGTGCGCAAAACAGTCAGGTTCAATGAGTCATTTGCATATGAATAGGAACTGCCATCCGGCTCATCATTCACTGCCTCGTGAAAGTATGAATGATTGGGAAGTAAACGAGCCATTGGCAGCAGAGCACTCAATCAGTAGCTCAGTCAGCACGTTTATTCTTCCGTGATGGTACCCAATCCTTGTTTTTAATGACTGAGCGTACATTTTCTATGGAAAACTGCCTCAATTACATACATGCTGTGCAACGTTGCCAGATATACATATTTTTAACGATTTCCAAACTAGATACCGATATACAGATAAGGTTCCTCAGAATACCGATTTTTAAAATTTTATACCGATTTATACCGTTTTTTTTTTAAATAATCAAAACTATTATTGCCTGCCCACGTTCGAATTTTGGAGACAATTTTTGTGAGTATCTTTTTGAATATCTCATATTTTTTTAGCCTTCAAAATTCTAAGAAATCATCTCTAAAGATGCCTTATGCTAGATACTCTTTCGACTAATGTTTGCATTTCCTCACCGTTTTTGGCTACCCATCAATC